TAAAATGAACAATAAAGTCCCAGACAAGCACAAACTAGGAAGTCTCAAGAAAGACTAAGAAAGACATAGTTTTCAGCTTGTTGAAGGCAGTGCCTATGTAACTGCTGTGCACCACTGTAAAAATAATGAGCTAAATCTCTTTTGAGATTAGAGAGGGAGTTCTCCACTGACTTAAATGGAGTGAGACTGTGTGTTAAGATTTGTTAGGTTAGGGGATAAAGCTCATCTACACAAGCACAGAGGAGAGTGGAGGCAAAACAGCAGGTGGGGGAACCCAAATGACCTACTTAGAGAATGGACACCCTGTCTGGCTCTTCCAGGGCTGCCCCAGCAGGGCACCAGCCCCATGGGTCCAGGTATGAAACCCAGCAAGATGGATTCTCCTCCCATGGCAGGAGCACCTGTGGGACCAAGGCGGTCACTGCCTGGGGGGTGGGAACCACGGAGGGATGCAGTGGGGGAGCGTTTAAGGATTCCATAAGGCTTATCATGGGGTGTTTAGGACAGACACTATAAAGGCAGAGAAAAGGAGGTATTTAGGTGGTTTAGGGAGTAACAAACATGGAAAACTAGGGGTATAAGGGGCTGGCTGAGCGTGAACCAGCACCCGATGAGTACACTTGTTGGTTGTGCCCTGCGCTTAATCATCACAGTTTACCCTGTATCTTACCAAAATTCCTTTCCAACTATCTTCCTAGGGGAGGGACTCTCTGTTCTGTGTGCACATGTATGTGGAGGTCTGCGTGCCAGCAACTGGAGTCAGATGAGGGCTCAGAGTGCCTGTGTGTCTGTGGTGGCAGCAATGGGAGCGAGCGCAGGTAGGCAAGTCAGTGTGCAATCGCTAGTGAACATCAGGCTGGATCAGCCAGTGAATAGGTGAAGTGACCTGGGAGCCTGGGGTGTGTGTGTGTCTCTAAGGGCGAGACCCCAATGGAACTGGCTACTGGAGGGATTGGGGGTCCCTGCCAACTGACAGGGAGAGGCCATGGGAACTGAGGATCAACTGAAACCTCTTTGTGTGCGTGTGTGTGTGTCTAGGGGTGAGGGACCTGGAAGAGCAAGGATGTAGGATCAGCTGCTTGATGGACTACATGGTCAAGGCCAGCTGATGGACAGATCCACAGGGTGTGTGTATGAGAGAGAAAGAGAGAGACTTGAGTGATGGGGTCTGTACTACCAGCTGGAGAGGGACTGTGGCATCGGAGGAAGGCACGTGTCCAGGTGCTGGCAACTTGGGAGGCTGAGGATCCAGGGACAACAACGGAGTGGACTGAGGCTGTCTAAGCCCAGCTGCTGGAGGGATTCACATTGCACATGTGTGTATTTATGTTCTACTAATGGGCCTTCCTCCTGATCAGCCAGAGAGGGGAACAGGATGAGGCTGTTGGTGCTGTTTGTGCTTTTGTGAGTACTTCGTGTGTCTGTCTGTGTTGATCTGTGTGGCCAGCTATGTACATATGTGTTATATACATGTGTTTATATGTGTGCATGCTAGGAATACATTCTCTGCCTTGCTGCTGGTTAGACCTGGGGACATGGAGCAGTGGCAGGCTCGTGCCATCAGGCGGCCAGGTTCAGCCTCCTTGCCTAATAACATTCCCTAGTGCCTATGAGAAGCAGTGTGAGACTTGCCAGCAGACTTTGAGTAGAGTGGATGATTAATTTTTAATTATCTCAGTGGGAGAGACTGGCAAGTAAATGCACTTTGTTCTATAAAATACCAAACAACAGGTGCTGTTTCATAAAGAATGCAATGTCCTGCTGCCCAGCAGAGGTTTTCAAATGGAGTCTTTAAATGTAATGTTTCCTCTCATTCTCAGCAGAATTTTGACTGAAACTAACCTTTTCCTTGCCAGCTTCTTAATTATATCAGTCTCTATGATAAATCATGTACTATTTATTTTTCTTCTATATTGTAAATTCCTTTAGAAACAACAAAAAGTAGAAGGTCAGTCTCACAAAACACATACCAATTCACTGTTCTACGGATCATGGTCTTAAAAAAAGTTTCTGGTTCATTTTCAGTCACTGAAATCAGTAAAAGCTTATGCACATACCTGTAGTAGTACAGTGTGGCCATGTTTGTGTGTTTCTGTGTCCTTCATTTACAGATAATAATGTAGGTACATACAGAAAAATTGTATGTATCAGGATGATGATGTTGTTAAATTTTAACATTTTCTACCCTTATGTCATTTCCAAAACCAAAGACAAGCAGGTATTGCAACAGAAAGCTCTTTTAAGTGGAAGCAGGGAGAAAACTGCAGAGCCATTTCCAGCAATATTGTCATGGAGAGAGGTAGAGCTTAGTGACATAGGAGTGAGGGGGAAGGCAGTGGATGGAAGAGGTCATGAACACGAAAGAAAATGAAACAAAACTGCAGATATGGAGGGAGAGACAGACTTGGTGACAACTTGTACTGATATAAAAGATACCTTCTGTCTCAGTAAAAAATACCTGAGGTGGCATTGTAGGCTCAGGCTCCATGACACTTTGGCAGTGAAACACTCACAGCTGCACTTTATCGATGCTCAAATATTTCAGACACACACGGTGATGGCAATTGTGTTAAAGCCCTCTAATTTACATCTTGTGCGTAGATAACCTAGGCACATATTCTTTCGCTTTGCCTGGATGCTTTTGTCTAATCTCCTATATTTTTCTCTTTGACTGAAAAATGAAACAGATTTTGCATAAGGAATTTTTTATTTTTGATGTTTTGTTATTTTACTGGGAGGCAGAGTTTGTCTCCCACTGCTCCTGAAGGAGAATGGCCAAGTTTAATGTGACTCTGCTACTGTCTGCATTATCCTGTTTCCTAACAAGATAAGCTGCTAGTGGCTGACTACAAATAGGGGAAATAAAAGAAGTAGTCAAAAGCTGGGAAGGAAACATAGATTTTGGCAAGGAGTCCTCCCTTCCTGAGCATATTTTAGTTTTTTCCTGTCTGTAGTGTATTTTTCTGGGGAAGAAGCTGAACAAGTGGCAATCCTAGTTTCTGCAATGTGTGTGCTTCCTCGCTCCATAGCAAAAAGTCTGGCACCACCCTGTGGAGACGGTTCAGAGTGCAAGCCAGTCAGGAAAGGCCAGCGACTGCACTGGAGAACCTTGTCTGGGAAAATCAACTTTTGAAATGGTGCTAGGCCTTGTTAGTAAAGGGTGGTGTCAGGGCCTGTGATTCCCCCCTCCGGGAAGAGCTTCCAGAGGGCTTCAGCCCAAACTGGGTGCTGGTGGATTTTAACATCTTCTCAGTGTCTATTTTGGAGCTAGTTATCAGGTAGTTGATGTACTAGTGAATTATTTGTTACTCCTTAGTATTTCTTAGCCTAGTTGTTGGGGTAAGCATTTTGTATCTGATTGTGCATAAAAGCAATAGAAGCCATCCAACAGTATATTGAATTGTGCAAAGTTCTGCATTTGGTGTTTGCTGCTCTGAAGGGATAATCCTAATTGCACCTGTTTAAAAAAAAAAAAAAAATTAAGGGAAAAAGGGACATTTTTTTCCATGAGTATTCAACAATTCAGAGAAAGAACCAACTACTGTTTCAGATTGCTGTATGGATCACTGTAGAGAGTACAGATTACTGTACTAGTTACCACTGCCTTTATAATGGCTGCAAATGACACCACTCCATTCTTTTGCTTTGTAACAGCAAAATTATGAACATATAACAGCTGATGCTATAGAAGTTTATGAAACAACCAGAAATAAAACTAATTAAAGCACCAGAAGGGAAAAATCCCTGCGATTCTACATCTTAAATGAAGAAATGATCAATTAAATACAGAGTAATACATAGATGTAAGATAATCAGGAAACCCTTTACATGAGGTATTAATCATCTTATAAATGATAAAAAATTATTCAAGCAAGCTAAAAAGAATTTCATAAACTCCTAATAACTTGGTAAATATATTAGCCAGGGGAAATGCAAGGTCTGGAGGTCTGGAGACACTAGGGAAATAGGCCTAAAGGGACTATATTTCCTTCGTTGTGTGTTTGTGAAAGCAGATATCCTACATAGTTCTGACCACCCTCAAGTACTTCAGCCCTTCAACTTTTACCCCAAATGGCACATTTTTGTGCCATATATGTGGATTGTTGTTGGAGTATAAACTGAATCTGGGACTTCTTTGCTTACTTGCATGTGTTTTGCCTTGATATTGAGCCGAAATCCATAGGAAATAACTTGTAGAATGGTTCAGAGAAAGTGATGAGAGCTGTAAGACCTTAATATGAGTCTGTTGCCCCAAAGGCTCAGTTACACAGAAGAGCTGATCTTAGTTTGAGCAAATCAGATTTTCACATTTGAATTCTCACAGAAAGTTAGATAAGCAACAGATCACCTGATAAAACTTTCCAGAAATTGCACTGACAAGGATGAAGAATTTTATAAAAGGGATAGGCAGATATCAGACAGTTTATATGGAAATACCTGTAAATCAAGTCAAATCAAACCAAATCAAATCCAGCAGTGGATTACAAACTCTAGTTAGTGGTACTAGTGGGGTCTGTGAATGGTCCAAGACCCTATCCAAGAGACAAACTCTGCAGTTCTGATAAAGCCCTAGAGAAGTTTTACCATGGATGTTGGACTGTAGGTGGAAGTAACTAGGTAAAGAATGTATCTGCATGTTTTCTCTTAGCTGCAACTTCAATGGCAACATTTGGAATGCCTTTTCTTACATTAAGTAAAAAGGTTTCCAATCTCACAGAGTTTTTGCAGGTGATTTATTTCTTTTATGTGGGATGCCACACCATTTGTCGACATGGCTAGGGAATTAGTAAGGTATTAAAGTTGTCAAAAATGACAAAATGCTGCATGCTGATTCCCAGTTGTGTTCATTGTCATTGAAAATGACAGAGAGGAGCAGAAGCACGGTGGCATATGAAACTGCATGAGTGTGCAGAGATGCAGAAATGGTAATTGTAAATACATGTTTGCACATTTTATAATGAATGCCTTTTGCTTTTTAATTCCCTCTTCTTGTTTTACAGAAAGAGATGACAACCAGGATGTGTCACTAAAAAGCTACGCATTGAAGAGAAGCAAAACTCAATTTCTTACTTACTGCAGAGCTTAAGGACATGACAGCCCTTGTGAGCTGAACCTGCTTGTTCAGCCATAGGAAGGGAAAAGTTGAGAAGGAAGTTGAGAAACAGGAAAGTGGAGAACCACAGTTATTTTCACAGATGCCTCCCAGCACTGTCAATGTTCTTAACCCTGAATATGCTGCTATGTCATCTGACACGGATTACTACGAAAAAAAGAGTCGGCTTCATATTAGCTCTAGCTCCTCCATTAGGGATGAGAACCTCTTTAGCCATGAATGATGACAGACCATGTTCCTGCTGCTAAGGCTTCACTGAAGTTCAGGTCCCTAAGCTGACCTCCAGATTTATCATTCTGAAATGAAACTGTATTAGCTGCAGTGTTATTTTCTTTTTGTTTTGTTTCTCAGTAATGTGGATTGTTTCCAAGTACAATGGAATATTAAGACACTCTGGAATCACAGAAGACTTTGAGACTTTAATGTCCCCAACCTCTCACCAGGCCACCCAATGCCTTGTCAGCAATCCCAAATGCCTTGTATTTAAAGGCACCCGGTTGTGGTTGTGTCGTCCAGCTGATTAGGCAGTTTGTACTTCATTGTGACCCATAATTAGTTGACAATGGGACAGATTCTGGTATCAATTACATTAGTGGGAATCCAAATTTAGCTCTGCAATGCTGATGGCTTTTCTTTGAATTCATACTTATATGACTGACAGAAAATCTACTCAGTATCTCTACACTACAGAAAAAAAGCAAAAAATAAAAAACAAAAGCAGCTATAGTCAACATTCTCCTGAAATACCTTATAAGTGCACTGCTCTGTCATGTAATTTGATATGCCCTGCCACTCTCAGAAAAGGGATCCCTCTCATTCACCTTAAAGTTTTTTTCTTTCCAGGAAAAAGAGGTTTTAATTTGGTAATTGGGAGGAAGATATGGTGAAGATAAGCAGTTTAAGGGTTAGGACTGGAAGTCCTGAGTGCTCCTCTCCATTGCATCTGAACAGTGTTCAGCAGTATAGCCTGCTTTTCACACCTGAATAATACATATTTTTTTCTCCTGTACTCAGTCCAACTTAACTAACACATCTGTGGGCAGCCTGGAAGGGTCGACTGCAGTAAGTTCAGTCTTCTATGTTAAATATGCCCTGATAAGAGGCTTTCTTTAAAAAAAAAAAAAAAAAAAGTGCTAGCGTAATACTTACAGCGAGACGCTCACAAGAGAGATATAGTTGAATAAATGGGAATCAAGTGGAACATACCTGTATATTCTTTGCCTTCTAATGAATTTTGCACAGTTTTGTTAGTGTGAAAGATCATTCTTTCCTTAGGAAGTGCTGAACCCTGCTGCTGTCTTCCCACCCAACTGAATAACCTATGTTTACTGTTGGGACTGTATCAGAAGCAAATCTAGTATAATATCCAGTGATTGCAACATGTGAAATAGAAGTGCCGCAGTCACTGAACAGTAACAACAAACCTCTCTGAGCTCATGTTGTGGTATATTCTGATTTGCTTGCCTGCTTGCTTACACAGGGCTTGGTTGCAGAAGTGCAAATAGTAGAGATTACAGAGACAAAGGGCTTTTATCTGTGAACATTGGATATAACTAAGGTGGAGACTTTTCTGCATCCTTAGAATTATGCAAGTAGCCTTATCCTTTGCTTTCAGGGAATGAATTGAGGTGTTCCTACCTCCTTTAATGCTCTTTGCAATCAGGTTAACTCTTTGGGGATTCGAAGGCACAGAGATGCCTTTTTTTTTGGAGGCTGGCACTTAAGCAGAATATAACTAACTTGTGGGATTCATTGCAACAGATACTGCTGAGCTTAGTAGCCTCATTTTAAAGAAGAAGAGAAATGTGTACATCTTTGGAAGAAAGCTAAACAAATAGATGTGGATCCTAACTGCCTGGAATCAGTTAATAAGTAACATCAGTTACTTATTAAAGGGTTTCTTGTACCATTCTCTAAAGTGCCTGGGTCTTGGCTTTGTTGGAGATGGAGCTGTAGCCAATACAGTGCTCTTGAATTTTACTGCTGTAAACTCCCAGCTAGCGTTCTCACAGCTGGGCAGCACTGCAGTGCTATATTTTAAAAATTAATGTAAAGATGAAGTCTATGGAATTTTGTGCAGAAAGATCAAAGTGGCACTAGATAAATGAAAAAAAGTAGTATTTTAAGTATAAAATCATTTATTCTCCATTTTGTTAAGCTACTTCCTATATACTGTTTTGAGTCTTAACTAGAGCACAGTCCAAAGATGAACCAGAATTTGTACCCAGTCATTTAGAATTACTTTTGAATAAGCTTTTTTGTAATTACATGAATCTCAGTGTGTTTGCAAAACTTATCTGTGGAGGGATATTTTCCTTTTTCTAAAACTATCTTTCAATTTAATAAAGTTTTATGTTTCATTTTCAAGTCCAGCACACTTTATGAAGCAAAGGAGATAATACTCTGCATTATATGACTCTGTAATGCAGAGTGGAACCTTAGAGAATTTGTGTTTGACCAGCCAAAATTCCAGAGCATAATCAGAAGAGCTCATTCCAACCCAGGAGCTGAACCAGTCACAGAGAAGTGCAGAATGTACTCATTTGGTTGCTTATTTTGGTGAGAAAAACGTGGAGTTGTACTCCAGCTTATATTTTCTCTTTGAGCACTTTTTCTTGCTATTTTTGTTAGCTTTGCTGATGTGGTGGCAGGTATGAAGCCCAAACCCTATGTAAGAGAGACGTGACTGGCTTTATGGGCACCCTTTTCTTTTTACCTACATGCCAGGCTAAGAGCTGCCTGGCATCTGGGCATTTTACATCTGTGGAACTGGCTTTGTTATTTATTTAAAATACCATATAGAGCCTAAAAGCCAAACTTAAGTGTGCTAGGTGATGATGAAATACAGTACCTCCCAATGACAGGACTGGGCCTTTGGCAGAAAATCTCCCAACAAGTATTTCTGTATTTAGTAAAGATGTATTCAGCCATCATCTAACCATCTCATGCTATGGGCCATTTCTTCTTCTCCTATGCTTGAGATTTGATACCCCAACAAGAATAATGTCTGGAATGTGGTAACACTACATTGAAGTGTCATATTACCTCCTCTCACAGAGGTGGAAGCGGCAGTGTCCTGTTGGAGCTAGTTCGGAAGAATCCCAGCTTCAGCAGTAATTTCCTCAGGACCACCTGTAGACAGAATCTTATTTTGGTTGTTAATCACAGGTCCTGATTTATGTGATTCCTCAGGATATGTAATCAGAACTGTAGTTTAAATGTGATAGTATGCAAAAGCCCCAATTTCATCCTGCTGAGGAAATCTTTCTTGATCCTAACAATTATGTATGCTTCTAGTTATCCTCCAGCTTGTGTTTTACCTCAGTTTCATATGGTTCTGGGATTCTGTTTTTTTTCATTTTTTATTTTGTTTTCTTACCTTCCTAGTCCTTCAGTCAGGTCTTGTTTTTCTTGTCTTAGAAAAGTTTTTTGAGTCTGGTACTTAACTTAATTATTAAGAGATATTGTTGGTGTTAAGGTTCAGGGTAATACAGGTGGAATCATTTTAGCTGATTGAGACCATAGCCAGCCTTACTTCAGAACGTGGAAGACTGCTGGGATACCAGAATTGCCTTCAGGAATTAAAGATTTAATAATTTTCATTGCTTTGTCTCTGTAATATGGGATTTTGTAATGAACTTTCGCTCTGTGGGAACGTAGGATTAGCAGTACACTTCAGTGATATATATAACCTGAAACAGATATTAATATAACCTCGCTGAGCTTCTCTTGGGAGGGGAGTCCTAGGGACTACCAAACCAAGTTTTGATTTGCTAACACACAGCAGTGAAATTGGTGGTTTCCATCAGCTCTCAGAGAAGGTGGGTACTTCTAAAGGCTTGAGTTTTCTCTGAGAACGCAAACTCTAAGCAGCAAAAAATTGTACCCTACAAGATATTCAAATCTTCTGGCCAATGCACTCGTTAAGATCATGAAAGGGAGAGATGAGGAAAACAATTAATTCATAACTCTAAACGGACGTACAGACAACTAGTAAACACATGCAATAGCCCAAGGGGTAACACTGTCAATAGTGATTGTGTAAGAAAATGCCTGTAGCTCTGTGTATAGGACACAGGTTCCTTGGGGAATGGTACCCTATAGCAGTAGTATTATGTCTCTGTTAACATTAGCCTCTCAGGTCTTTGTTCTTATGTGTCAGAGTTCCTTGTATCTTCTTCCCAGCAAAGGCCAGCCTTCTTTCAGGCAGAGCGATCTAGATAGATAAAGATCCAAGGACTCAAGCTGCTTCCTTTCCAAAACCATGGAAAGGAATATTTTATCACCTTGTACTCCAAGTTGAATAAACTACACGTTCTGGAGCCTTTCACTTCCTGCTTCTTCTATCTGTTCTTCAGGTTTCTTTTATTTTCTAGGAGAGAAGTCTCAGAGCTCACCATGTGCCTTTTAACTTCCCCCAAGGAAGATGTTGTTAAGAAGAGCAGCTTTTCCTCCTCTTTTATGCCTCTAGAAGGGAAAACATTGCACCTAGGCTCTCTGAAAAGCTGTGAGCACAAGTTGGTTTTTCATTCTCTCTTCAGAAGAGTAGAAGTGGAGGGCAGGAGATACTTGCAAGCACTGTGTAATAGGATGTACTATGTATAAAACAGGAATATGCTTCTATCACATGCTGTGTTTCAGGTGCTTTGAGAAGGGGACAGCACCCAATATAAACAAGTGGTCAGTAATAAAGCTTTTTTTCCTATACATTGGAAGAAATTAAAGATATTTTCAGCAGTTATGCAAAGAAGTCCAAGGGCAAAGCAAATCAAATCAGTAATAAGAACGCAGTAGTGATATACATTTAAATCCAAAATGATCAAGGCTGATTCTTTGTGTATTTCATGCTGAAGAGAGGCAGCATTTTCCATGGTCTAGCCAAATGACGTTGAAGATTTTAAAGCAGCAGTTGTTTCTTTTCTGTTTTAGTAAGTTTTCTTCTTTTAACACAGATATATTATAATAAAAAGTTATAACACAATATTATCCCAGAGGAAAAAAAAATACTCACTTGTCTGATCTAATTCATGTGTACATGTGCATGTGCATATGGGTGTGCAGGTGGATGTGGAAGTAGAATGTATATGTGTATCTCTGGCTCTTTCCCACAGAACACATTTTTTTCTTTTTGTAATTTTTGAGATAGATATATATTTCTAACAATTAAGCGGTTAATTCCTTTTCTTTCTTCATCCATCAGCACTGTTCAGTATTTTTTTTTTAGTGATATCAGATGTATCTTAGACTATTAGATCTGTGTATAATTAAATGGTATTTCAGCTGTTTGTGAAGAGAGACTGACACTAACTGTTAAAGTCATTAAAAGAAAAGAACACTGTGGAAGATTACTTTTCAAATCAAGCCTAGTTGATGTAGCTAAATTCAAATATCCTGAATTAAAAGATATGTAACTGTGTTAAATGTCGTGAAATCATTTTGAATCTAACTCTTTTAAGCAAGACATATGCAAATAGTGTTCATACTGCTGGTTAAAATTTTCTGTCAAGCTCACAGGAGTTACAAATGAGTAAGATCAATCAGTGCCAACAAACCAACTGCCTAACAGGTCTCCTGACGCTGTTATGACACCAGCAATAATGGACCAAAAGTTGTGCTAATGAACACTGGCCATCCTCTCATTGTCATTAGTGGGATCAGACTAGCTGTGCGAGTACCCTTTCTTCAGGTAAGTTGGCCTGCTGGTTCTTGCATGCCTGTTCTTCAAGCTTGTGTAACTCATGGGTTACATCATATATGTCAGTTGGTTCTTCATGGGACACTCCAAGCCATGAGGGACAAGCAGTGCCAAACTAGTTCCAAGCAAAGTTTCATCTCAAAAACAAAACTAAAAAGCCTTGGTTATAATTTATCTGCCCTGAAAGGTGATGGAAATCTAATAGGAAGATGGAAACCATCTTCAGTACATAGACTTACAGCTCATTAGACTGTTCCCTGTGTCCTTTTGTCTGGTTCCTAAACAGTGGGGCAACAGGAACAGAGAGGGAAACAGGAAGCAGATTCGATGATGGAATTTTTGGTTAAATAAAAGGCACTGGAGCATAGTTGGAGAGGGAAGTGAGAGTTAAGGTACATGTGACACTGCAAGAAGGTGCGGGAACCAGGAGCCTGGACATGAGACAATTATGGAGCTTGAGAGAAGCAGGAGTCTGCAGCAGAAGGAATAGGGCTTAACATTGGCTTCAGGATAGGCAGAAGCAGCACCCAGGAGGAGACGGTGTGATGCTGGACTTAGGGTGTCAGTCTTAATAGATGGTGGGGAGTAGCTAAAGATAAGAGAGGCTAGGATCAAAGGAATAATTGGAAAACTGCTGCTAAGGGAAGCCAAGAACTTTGTCCCGGGTGAAGGAATCCCAATGACAAGCCTAGCAGGAAGGGTGTAGGGGTACCATGTGAATACTGACATACCGGATGGTTGTGTCAGAGCACAGAGACTGCTGCTATTCAGACAGACCTCAACGGGCTGCAGAAATCGGCAGAGGAATCTCATGAAGTTCAACAAAGGGAAGTGCAGAGTCCTGGGAGGAATTCCTGGGAATAATTCCATGAATTATTCCACCTGAGGAGGAATAACCATAGGCAGCAGTACAAGCTGGCAGCTCACCAGCTGGAAAGTAGCTTTGCAGAAGAAGAGCTGGGGTCCTGGTGGGCAGCAAGCTGAACATGAGCCAGCAACGTGCCCTTGCAGCAATGAAGGCTAACGATATCTTATGCTGCATGAGAAAGAGTATTACCAGCATGTTGATGGAGGTGATCCTTCCCCTCTAGCTACCACTGATGAGGCCACATCTGGAGTGCTATGTCCAGTGCTAGACTCTCCAGTACAAGAAAGACACAGACATACTGGAACAAATCCAGCAAAGGGCCACAAAATGATGAAGGGACTGGAGCATCTCTCACATGAGGAGAGGCTGTGAGCTAGGATTAATGAGAGGGCTTAAGGGGATCTTATCAATGTGTATAAATAACCTGATGGCAGGGAGTAAAGAAGGAGCCAGACTCTTCTCAGTGGTGACGGGATAAGAAGCAATAGGCAAAAACCGAAACACAGGAAATTCCACTTAAACATAAGAAAACCTGTTTTCACTGTGAGAGTTGAACACTGGACATGTTCCCCAGAGTGGTTGTGGAGTCTTCATTCCTGATGACAACCAAACCCCAACTGATATGTTCCTGAGCAACCTTCTCTAGAAAACCCTGCTCTGAGTAGGGTGGTAGGACTAGACAGTCCCAGACATCCTTTCCAACCTTTGTGATCCAGTGATTCTGTGACTACAGAACTGTGAACTGTGACACAGAACTGTGACACAGTTCTTTAGTCTACCATTGCCAATTTCCCTTTCTAGGCAAAATGAGATATATGATGGCAAAGGAGAGGCAGTGAAGTCAGAGCTAAAATAAATTCTTCCTTTCTTTCCCCCTCCAACTTTGCCACATGCCTCATCCTTTTTTTCCCCAGCCTGACTCCTTAAATAAACCCTGAGCAGTTAATGGAAGGCATCTTCTGGCAGAACTCAGGAGTGAAGCAGCAGGGGAGAAGTAAGATTGGCTATTACATCAGCCCTTCCCTGTTACACTGGGGAAGTGTCTCAGCTGTGTCATTTCCACTGTTACTGGGATGATGTGGTATCACCTGCTGCTGCACAGCATGGTGGCAGAGCAGGATTCAGCCTCCCTTTTCCCTTCCATAATGCTCTTCACAGTGGTGGAAGCCAGCATAAAAGAAAAGTGAGGCAAACACAACAGGAGGATTTTTTTAAATCATCCTAACTAACAAAAAAAAATAAAAAGGAAAAAAATCTAACATACAGCAGATGGATCTGGTGATTTGAACCCTTAGACTGTGTTTAAGATATCACAGCTATTTAGGGCAATTCAGGTAAATTGACTCTTAAGGCGAAGGTAAATTTCATACCTGATGCATGTGCTTTTGTAAGAAGAGCCATTCTAGTACCATTAGTAGCAGAGTAAAAGCCACACTACTCATATCCCTAAAAGCCATATTCTATGCAATTTCTAATGGTACAAAGATTAGCAGTAGTAAGGAGGGAATGCATCCCATTGCATAAAGAGCACATCAAGCCCATCTCCTGCTGTAAGTGAAATTATGTCACATTTGAGCAGCTGAACTAAAAAACAAAAAATGAGCCATTCCAAAATTTGCCATTTATATTGTATCAGCAGACGTTATGTCATGGAGTCCTTCTAGAGCATTGCAAAATCTTGCCAGGCTAGTCAGCTCTGCAAAAGAAGACACTTTTTTTCAGTTCAATGTTAAGCATGCGTTATGTTACTTTTTGCCTTAAAATAGGTAGTTTCTATCAGCGGGCACCACTTACAGGTATAACTGCTGATCACAGCAAGAGGCTGCCTACTAAGAGATGCTATAGCTCCCAGCTGCTGAGTGGGGAAGTAGGTTGTTGAACATAATCCACCTTCATGTGGATAGTGCTATAATACAGCAAAACGGCTAGGCACTCTCTGAACATGGCTGCATAGTAAATCTTTTTTGGTTAATAGCGTCTAGCTCAGTGATGCTATTATTTTAGATACATTATAGAACAAACTGTTTTCTATCCAGTAGCAGTCATATTCATGAGAGAAAGTAAGTCAGTCAATGTAGTGGTAGTAGCAGAATTCAGGCCAGGCAGGAAAAGATGTCTGAAGATGAGTCTGAAGACGAGTCTGGAGTTAGCTGTGAATAATTATACAAGCTTTGTGCTGGCCTGCTACGCTGAAATGCATTTCATCCACAGACCTTTAGTCTTTCTGGCCTTCCTGGGCTCAAGTTGTAAAAGTGAGCAGATGTTGGCTTACATCAACAGATGAGTGCTGAGTAAACTGAATGTGTGCGCACTTTGTACTCTACTGATGGAAGAAAAAAGACGTCATTTTTACCTGACTTTCTGCATGGGTTCAGACTTTCCCTTAGCAAATTATTGGAGAAATACACTAACCATTCAGTCTAGTAGCTCTTAGGAGTACAAATAGTTTCAGTAACACACATTAGTAAGGCTGCAAAGTTGAGCCCAGGAATTAAGTGGCATGCTCCTCCGCCCAGCCTCCACCATAATAACCGTATTAATATTACGCCAAATTAATCTGCCTACTTGCTTGATTTTTAAGTTGGCATAAGACGTGAGGAGAGAAATACTATTTATTTGTTGACAAACTCTTCAAGGATAAAAACCCTAAATCCTCATCAACAATTGCATTGCACTCATCCTTCTCAAACTAGGTGACAATACAATACATTTCTAAGCTGATGTATGTAACCTGAGAAGCAGAGCTGGTTTCCTCATTTCATACATTTCACTGACAAGTCATCTTTCATTAATGGTTCCTGTATTAGATTTTTCTAGCAGCAAAAAAATCAGTATACAAAAAGCAAACCCTACAAACAGTGTTGTTCTGGCTTAGCGGTGGTGTTTGGGGCCCGTCAGTCAGCCAACCTGCTGGTAACATACATCCAAGCTGATCACCCAGGGTGGCTAAATCAGACCAGTTCAGCCTGTTTCTACTTCTAAGTTATTTGCAGATGACATGCAGTTTTAAAACTGGGAGGAAAGCTAGGCTAAAGGAAGGGGACAAAGTTGAGTCAAATGACTCAGCTTATATGTGGCACTTGTGTTTCACTGCTGTATGATCTTGGCAAGTCACAGCATCAACCCATGCCTCCATTTCCTCCTACCATGAAATGCTATTTCCCTTTGTCATGTAAATGACAAATGGAACAAAGCCTAATTCAGTCAAGAGCGTGGAAAAGGACAGGCTCAATTTCTGCAAACACTTTAGCAATTGTATAGCTTTGCTTCTCAGGTATCCTGAGTGAGTCAAGGCAAGCATGTGCATATGGGAAGAGCAGGACAATAAATTTAGTTGAAAAAAGAATAGCTATAAGAAGTAAAATCCAACAAGTGGAGACCTTCTGATATGTGTGTGAATTACTCTGTCCCCAACTCCCTATCATTAAACACCAACAACAAGCTTGTAGGGCAAGAGTTCCTGCCTACCATAAACAATTGAGGGTAGGCAAAATTTGTTCTCTAAGATAAGTGAATTTTGGGAAGCAGTAAGCTAAGCAACTCCTTAACTTCTATAGCAATTACAAAGGCTGAGCTTTTCAGAAGAATGTCATTGTGTAGCTCCACAGATTCCTCTGAGAAATTTAACAAATGTACATACATAAGATATATAAAAAAAAACAGGTTGCAAATTACTAGCTTGAGTCAAATAGCTACCAGAAATAGTGCTTACTTTTAATAAGATATTACATTGCATTGCCAAGATCATATGGAAACTTGCACTACCTCCTGTTACACAGCTAGCAAGTGTTTGCCTTGGTTAGTTCTGTCAGGGTTAGA